TCTTTATTGTTTCCGTTCCTGAAGGAGTTCAATCCGCTGACGGAACATTTCTCTCGCTATCCTCAGAAATCTTGGCGGAGCTGCTTTTGTGATATGGTCGCGATACTTTAAATTATGATCTCTCCCTGCATTCACCCTTTAATCCACATGATCCACATCAGTGTGTCCTGAGGCCTAATCCCTCCCCCAAGGAAATTGGTTTAGTAGTTTTTGTGTAATCGTGCAAACAAATCAACAAACTGTGTGAAATCAACCTCGAGCTAATGAGTAAAAGCACAAACACGTTCCCGTGAAGTTTGTTCTCTGACTTGTTGTTTTGCGCGGCTGAACTGATAAGTCACGTGTTTGATTGACTCTCTGACCCGTTGACCTTTGAAGCTTGTTATAAAAGAGGGTTGGCGTCAATAAAAAAGAAAGAAACTATTTGTTTCCTCGCTCCTGAAGCTCTTTTTTGCCGATGAGGAGTTTTCCGACATTGACACGCAGTGTTTATCCGACTCGAGCCCTCGGCCCAGCGTCCTAAAGTCCAGCTGTCAAAACAAGCCAAAGTCCACTTCGGTCATGAGAGGCGTCAGCTGAGAGGAGAGTTTTGATCCACCGCACATGCACGACTGGCCGGTGTCCAGGGTTCTCTGATTTCCTCGTGTAAGTCAATAAATAATCAGCTGTTGTCTCTGTGGAGGATTACAACTTCAGCAAAACCTGTAGAATATCTCGATCCTGCTGTTTTCAAATGAGATTTGACAAAACTTACTAAGTTTCTTTGAAGGAACCAACATCAAGGTACATTACCACCATCCACTGGTCATTTATACCGCACCTTCCAAAACAGTCGTAACAACATGCAGGCTGAATAGCATTTAATATAATACATAATCTGAAACCAAGGACCACAAATAAAGCATCATTTAAAAGTAAAGATCTAATTAAAGCGAAAAACAATCAAGTAAAAGCCATTTGGTGAAAGAAAGTTAGAACTGATTTATTACTGTTGCTGACGAGGAGCCAGTTTAGGTTTTTAAAAGGAATCTCACTGTTCAAGTCAATTTAGAAATGATAATAAAATCCAAAATAATCCTTTATAATGTTAAACATTTGTGATCAAATATCCAACAAGAAGAGTTTGGAGAAAAGAATTTATCCCTCAAAACTAAAGCTTAGATTTTATCATTTAGTTTTCGATTCAAAAGTTTCACTTCAAGTCCTTTCCACAGTAAACGTGTCAACGGCTTCAAATTAAATCAAATTTGATGAGAGAAACATCTGGAAAAATCTATTCCCCGATGTTCGCCTTTGACTTCAGGGCATCAAATCATGCTTCACAACGCGAACGCATGAATATTGGTTTATTTTTTGGGGGTTTAATATAAAACTAAGACGTTGGAACACTTTCAGGTTTTGGAAAAAACAGAATATATTGAACTGATGATGAGGAACAGGAGGTCAATAGTTCAGTCATAAGAAGACACCCCTCTGTGTTTCCGTGGGCAAATGAAGCAGTCCTGATTCAGACGGTATAAATAGACCTGATTTCCTAATTCTGCCGTTTAGACACTTCTCTTGGCCGAGACGATCGAGAGCCACAGACTGTCGACTGACCCTCATTTCAAACTCGTTTCCATTCAGCCTCCGAGTCTGTTTTTGTTATTAAAGAACACGGTGCCAAACCACGCAGAGCCAGCTGTGTCGTTTGACAAAAATATCAACTTAAATGTCAATTAGTGCGGAGAATTTCCCTCTGCAACCGGCTCTCCGGGAGCTGACGGAGGGCTGGGGTTCAGCTTCAGGGGTTAATGACGCCATTATCAGCATTCAGAGCATCTAACACGATTATCTCTGCAAAAGCAAGAGTCTGATCTCTGCATGTATCAAACATCAGTCACTGTAGAAACCAAATCTTTGTTTTAAAACCCCCACAAAGCTCAAACCCGGATAATTCTCTGTTTGAACAGCTGCCCTCTGCTGGCCTGAGCCGGGTGTCGGTAAGATCTGTGACGTCATCTCGGTCGTCAGATGCGTCAACTCCAGAGTTTTCAAGATATCGAGCCTTTCTCATGAGCGAGATTAACAAAGTGAACCGAAGATATTCAATAGATTATAATGTCGTCTCAGTGGGGCCGGACGTGTCTGTGTAGAAAAACTTGAATGCGTTCACAGTGAATCTGAAATGGGTCAGAAACTCATTCGTGTCGCTCAGGAGAAGGTTTAGAAGTTGACGGAGCGGGTTTGACTCAAGCTGTGACCTTTGGGACGATCTCGATAGGAACGAGATGAGATGAGGCCCTGGAATGTTTCAACCCAGCGATCCCGTCCGCAGCCGAGGGGAGAGCGGCCATCGCCTCCCTGCTGACTGACACACTCCTAGAGTGATGCCTAGAAGTGAGTGTGTGTGTGTGTTTGTGTGTGATGATGCCAGTGGACCACGCAGGGGGCATTTCAACACCAGCATGTGACCCGCTGGAGTTTCATTACTGATGGACGAACCAGTGGGCTCACTGGGGATGTAGACTGGTGCTAGAGTTTCAAAACAACAGCCTGTGTGTGTGTGTGTGTGTGTGTGTGTGTGTGTGTGTGTGTGTGTGTGTCTTTGTGTGTGTGTGTGTTTACGTGCATGGAGCCTGGCCAGTGTAATGAGCAGATCAGATGTACGCACCTTTTCAACTATTAGTTAGACTATTAGCATCGTCAGTGAAAGTCCCCGGAATCACTCCGCTAACCCCTCACACACTCACACACACACTCACACACACTCACACTCACACACACACACACACACACACACACACACACACACACCGATAAGGATGCGTCAGAATTTCGGTGAACTGCGTCTCATTTCCACGACGCCCAGCAGGAGGCCTGACCCCGTTAACTCCACAACAGCATCCGTCTTCAAGAGCAACGACATTGACAGGTGTGAGGCCTCGGCTCCGCCTCCTCCTCCTCCTCCTCCTCCTCCTCACAAGCGAGAAAGTTTCCTATTTAGGTTGAAACCGAGGGAACTCCCCCGAAGTCTTTTAGATCAGATCAGCTGCTGCTTTCATCCTCATTTAGAATTTATTATACGTGTGCAGGTTTGATCTATACGATATGAATATGTGCATAGAAATGATGTGTATCAGAATTAAGACATTTTTCTTTCTGTGAACTGAATTAGGAGCAAAAATTGGTTGATGGTCTCGATGATGGAGACGGACGGATGTCAGGATTCTTAAATGTGTTAAACCTCTGTGATGATTGAAGCTGTTCACGCACGTGTGGCTGATGCTCTCAGACTTATTCCAGCCGAGCGGGGATTCTACATCTCGCTTAAGGACACTTTGGCAGGACACCCGGGCCTTTTTAGCTCAGGGAACATGTAATCCGTTTTTTAGTAATGGGATGGGCTCTCTTAAGCACCGGGGGG